AGAGTTCTAAATCCTAATCCGTAGGCAAAAAAATGAGGAGAGTCTCTGGGCCCGGCACGGTCTTTTGAAACCTTAAAGCCCACTCCCAGTGACATACTTCCTCCAATGAGGCCACACCTCTCAATCATATCAACTTTTTCAAGTAGTGCCACTGCCTGGTGACTAACATTCAAATGTATGTACTGGGACCATTCTTATTCAAATCATCACAGGTATCATATTTTCATGTTTGTTTAGTGTGTGTGTGTGTGTGTGTGCCCACACATACACACACTTGCCACATGCTGTGACATGTGGATGTCAAAAGACAATTTGTGAAGTCAGTTCTTTTCTTCCATCATGTAGGCTCCAGGGATAGAACTCAGGTCATGAGGGGAAGTAGCAGTACCTTTACCTACTGAACTATCTTGCAGGCCCAAATGATAATATATATTTAACCTAAAATTCTACTCATTCAATGTTGGTATTTAGGAAAATGACCAACTTTTATGTTCATTTTGTATCCTGTAATCTTGCTATAATTTTCTACTTGCTAGAGTCAGACTAGCATGCTCTCTCTCTCGCTCTCTCTCTCTCTCTCTCTCTCTCTCTCTCTCTCTTTCTCTCTCTCCCTCTCTCTCTCTCTCTCTCTCTCTCTCTCAATTCTCTTTGTTTTTTTGTTTTTTGTTTTTGTCTGAATGTATGCCTATGCATCATATTTGTATCTGTGCCCTCGGAAGCCAGAAGGTAGCTTTGCTGGGAACTTGAACCTCCAGTTCTCTAGGAGAACAGAGTTAGTGTTCTTAACCACTGAGCAAACCCTGTAGTCCTTCTGACTTTCTATAAACACAATACTGTCATCTATAAATCCTGAGTTTTCTTTCTTCCCTCCTAATAAGGATGGTCTTGAACTCACAGAGATCTCTCTGCCTTTGCCTCCTGAGCGTTGGAACTACCTAGGAAGTTCTGGTATTTTTTTTTTTTTTTTTGAGACAGGTTTCTCTGTGTAGCCCTGGCTGTCCTGGAACTCACTCTGTAGACCAGGCTGGCCTTGAACTCAGAAATCCACCTGTCTCTGCCTCCCAAGTGTTGGAACTAAAGGCGTGCGCCACCACCACCCGGCGCTGGTATGTTTTAAAAGGGTTCCTTTCTACTCCTCTCATCAAGAATCCACTCCAATACTCCCCAGTACTTATTGTAATAACTTAGTCAAATCCCTAGAGGTTACACTCACAGCTGTGTGGAGTCTTCCAATGCATGAAATCCCCCAACAGCTTCTACCTGTCAGATGGTCTGCACTAACTTTCCAATAATTAATCAATTACAGTTGAGGTTTTCCTACTGATTCCCATAGAGACATGTGCTCTGTATAATTCTCTATCCACCCTTCTGTCTCTTCATTCTAGAGGCAATGGTTTGGCACGTGAGACTGTTTCTCTTCTGGGGTAAAGAACTGTTGGTTGTTCCATCTGTTCGGGCTTTACCTGTCAGGACAGATCTTGGGCATCTTCCAAGATCTTTACATACAGTTTTACTTTGAGTCAAGGTCTTGCTTTGTAGCAAATGCTAATCTTACCCTCATGAGTGATCGGTCTTTCTGCTTCCCTCCTGGATGCTAGAATTACAGTCATGCACCACCACACCCAATTTTAATACATTTTAAAATTCAACATGGAATTTGGGTTTAACTAGCATACATGAACCCTCCAGCACTACATAAACCAGGCTTCGTGGCATCTGCCAGTAATTCCAGCACTCAGGAGGTGGGGGCAGGAGGATCAGAAATTTAAGGTCATCTTTGGCTACCTGGATTGAAGCCACCCTGTACTACATGAAATACTGTCTCAAAAAACACTTAAATAAATAAATTCTATACCAGAATTAATAACTTATAAGAGCCAGTGAAGTGCGTTTCTAGCATGTGAAAGGCCCTGAATTCTATCCTAGTACTGAAAAAGAAACCTGAGTAATTTATATATGTGTCCACATATGTCCATATTTGGACTCCCCAGTGATATTTATTTTTTGTATGCTTCCTGTTTTTTAAGATGTATTTATTTACTATACCTGAGTGCTCTATCTGCATGTACACCTGTGTGCCAGAAGAGGGCAGCAGATCCCATTACAGATGGTTGTGAGCCCCCATGTGGAATTGAACTCAGGATCTCTGGAAAAGCAGATAGTGCTCTCAACTGCTGAGCCATCTCTCCAGCCCCTGATTTATTTATTTATTTATTTATTTATTTATTTATTTATTTATTTATTTCAGTGCTGGCTACTGGACCTAGGGCTTTGAGCACTACTAAGTTAAACCCCTAGCCCCTTTCCTGTGCTTTGCATTGTTGCCATGGACGGACTGTCTGAACTTGAGTATCCTTGTTTGAACTCAAGAACTCCCTTTAGCTTTCTTTTCTTTTTCTTGTTTTTGTTTTGTTTTGATTTTTGAGTCAGGGTGTCCTTCTGTAGCAGCCCTTGCTGGCCTTGACCTTACAGCGATTCACTTGCTTGTGCTCCAGAGTGCTGGATTTAAAGGGTGTGTGCTAGAAGAAAGCTCTACAGAGTCACTTCTCTCCTTCCTCCTTCACTGGGTCCTGGGGAGCCAACTCAGGCTGCCAGGCTTCTGAGTGCTGGGAACCAAACCCAGATCCTTGCAAAGGCAGTAAGTTCTCTTAACCACTGAGCCAGCTCCCGAGCTGCAGAGGCTAGCTTTCAAGATTCAGTTTGTTCCTTTTACAGTGGAGCTGGAGATCACGCTCAGGTGTGGGCGTGTAGACTGAGCCACCCCTCTGGCCTATACAGGCTCATTCCCTTGTTCAAGTCATTAAAACCCTTTAGAGAAATTTCAGTTATTATAATTTCCGATTTCAGAATGTTTGTTTGGTTCCTTAAGACCTCTCCACTGATGCCCTCAAATTCTTCCTACATCATTTTTCTGACTTTTAGTAAATTCCATTCATACTGGGAAATGCTTTCAATAATCAGCCCACTCCATTCTGGGGGAGGGGTGTCTCCCAATGATTTAGAAGGAGATGTCACTTTTCTTTTTTTTCTTTTCTTTTTTTTTTTTGAGACAAGGTCTCTCTACATATCTCTGGCTGTCCTAGAACTCACTATGTAGACCAAGCTGCCTCAAACTCAAAAGAGCTTCACCTGCCTTGGCCTCCCAAGTGCTCTAGATCTCACTTCTCATTAGAGGTTTTAGGAGTTCACAATCTCTTGCGCCCCCTAGTGTTCATTTCAGTCTACAACAACAGGCTTGTGATTGCCTTCAGTGGTCAATTGGTATTTGAATTATGCCAGATTACATGTCTAAGGTTTTTGGTTTTCTGTTTCTTGAGACGGGGTCACCCTATATAGATCTGGTTGTCCTGGAACTCAACATGTAGATCAGGCTGGTCTTTAACCTGAAGAGATCTACCTGACTCTGCTGCTCAAATCCTGGGATTAAACGTGTGGCATATGCTGGGCTACAAGTCTTAAGGTAAGGTTAAGCCTGGTCACACAGTTCAAGAAAAGAAATGGGAGGGAAAGGAAAAAGAAAAAAAGGAGGGGAGGAAAGAGATATGAAATACAAGTGCTTTGCAAACTGTAAAGTGCTCTACAAACTCGAGGGAGTCATCTGAGAAGTGTCCTACAGTTTCATTTATTATGTTACATTTACTTATTGTTTGTGTGTACCCACGTGCCATGGTATGCGTGTGGTCAGAGGACAACTTGTGGGAATCATCTCTCCCCTTCCAACATGTGGGTCCTGGGGATCAAACTCAGGCTGTCAGGCTTGGGAGCAAGCACCTTTATCCACTGAGCCCTCTTGCCAGCCCAGTCTTCTATGGTTTAAATCAAATTCCTAAACACTGGGCAGTAGGTTCCGTTTCTGGTCACGGCATCTACGGCCTCCACTGTCTTGGACAAGCCGCCGTCTCTGACAGCCTGTTCCCTTACCTGTGACATGTGGACTTGGACAAGCCGCCGTCTCTGACAGCCTGTTCCCTTACCTGTGACATGTGGACTTGGACAAGCCGCCGTCTCTGGCAGCCTGTTCCCTTACCTGTAACATGTGGATACACTTTTACCTCTCAAGGTGTCTATGAGAATTCATGAGTGTAAGGTTCCTGGTATAGCCCATCCAGGCTGAGGGGCAGGGTCAAGTCACGGCCATCTCCTTGTCAACATTCTGGTAACTGGGCACAATTGAAGAGTACTCCTGACCCAGGGAGGCAGGACTGCAGATTGACAGCCGAGATTAACACGCTTCGGAAAGGGTGTCTTGACTTTGGTAAAGGAAAGCTGGGTGAACGCTAAACTTCCAAGTGAGAAACTGACCTGGGAAGCCAGGCCTAAATGAGGACAGGAAACCTCACTGTCCGAGCCCTAGGGACGAATCTACTGCTATGAATGAAATGCTGTCATCTGGTTTTAAGAATTTTTATATCACCCCTTCCCAATCCCCTACTCCCCGTCACTGTCAATTCCCTTAGCCACAAAAGTGCTCAATTAATAGTAGTTTGAAAATTAATTAAAAGTTTGAAAGGTTCTTATCGTGATGTGACTTTCAAGAGCGAAGAGGTCAAGGTTGTATCAAGAGGCCACACTAGCACCCACCTCTAGGCCAGCCTCCTTCAGAGGCCAACAAAGTATATGCAAAAAAAACATAAGGATGAGCTGAAGAAGCCAAGACTACACCGGCCCTACCACACACCCACTGTGTGACCTTCCTTTCAACTGTTCCATCTCCTGCCCTTGAGGGTTACTGTGGTAACTGGATGAGATTAAAGAATGGCTTGTACACCTAACGGCCTACAGAGGGCGCCCAAGTGACTATCCCCTCTACTAACAGCCTACAGAGGGCGCCCAAATGATTATCCCCTCCCTCCTCTTCAAAGGCTCCAGAGCTCAGCCCTGCTGCCCTTCACATTTCAGAGGAGCCACCACCCGTCTCAGAATTCTACTCAACACCTTTGCAGAATGGCTGCCCCGGAACAATCTCCCCTGCACCCCACATCCCCAAATACGTACACAGGTCCTTTTCATTGAAGTGTTTACTGGTAATCACTGAGGAGACAGACACAAGTTGGGGTGAGAAAACCAGGTAACAAGCATGGGAGGGTCCCTGGATGGCGGATCCCTGAGGCTTCCTTTTCACCCTCACTGGAGGACCACAAGCCTCTCCTCAGACTGGAGGGGCCCTTCAACAGGAGGGCCATGCCTCCCAGCCTAAGGCTCTAGAGGCTGACATAGGATGAGGCACAGCAGGTAGGAACTCACAGGCCACTGTAGTGTGTGTGAAGCTAGACAACTTTGGAGGACCTGCAGACAATGATACCGTTTCAGGCACTACCCCCAAAGCCAGGGGACTGATGCCCCAGAGACAGGAGCATATCCTGAGTCTACCCCCCAACCCCCTACCCCCTGAGGAAATGAAGAGTGAGCACTCTGATTTTCCAAAGCAAAAAACTGCTGGGAAGAGGCAGGATTTTTACTCAGTCCCTTCTCAGGATTTCCTGAGCTTTAGAAGGAGCTTTTCCACAAGTGAAGGCTTTGTAGTCCTGGAGGCCACAGCAGGCCCTCCTCCATACAGGTGGGCTCTATGCTCTCCCTGACTCTCTAAGCAGGGCTCCCACTCCACTTTAACTGGAATCCTTCTCCTCCTGCTCGCCCAAGTGTGTTTTCTGGTGTCGGATGAGGTTGGAACTCCGGGAGAAGTGTTTCCCACACTGGGTGCACCTGTACGGCTTCTCCCCTCTGTGCGTTCTCTGGTGTGCACCAAAGTTGGAGATGTCACTGAAGGTCCGCCCACATTCAGTGCACTCATAAGGCCTCTCGCCCGTGTGGGTGCGGTGGTGCACCCCAAAGCTGGAGCTGTTGCTGAAACTCTTCCCACACTCACAGCAGATGTAAGGGGCTGGCTCTAGGTGGGTTCGGCGGTGGACAGCCAGCGCGGCGCTCTGACCGAAGCTCTTGCCACAGATGTCACAGCGGTATGGCCGCTGGCCCAGGTGATCTTGCTGGTGCGTGGTGAGGTCGGAGCGCCGCCGGAAGCTCTCCTGACACTTGGCACATTGGTAGTGCTTCTCTTCCAGGTGGATGCGCTCGTGCCGGATGCGGTTGGAGCTCCGGGAGAAGCTCTTGCCACACTCTGAACATTTGTACGGCTTCTCGCCAGTGTGGATCCGCTGGTGCGTCCTCAGGTTGGAGGTATTGTTGAAGGTTTTGCCACACTGAGCACATATAAAAGGCTTCTCATCTGTCTCTGGGCTTGAAAAAGTCATGGGATCCCTGAGACCTCTAGCTCGGGCAGTGACTTTCCGCCATGGCTTTTGTGGATATGTTTTGTGGAGCCCCTCCGACAGGCTCTCCTGCCCATGTTCCTCCTCAGATGTGATCTGAAAATCCTTTGAGCCATCCACTCTCCAAGGCTTAGTCCCTTCCCCTTCCTCAGGCAGCTGTGCTTCGGGACTCTGCTCCTTCTCGCTGCCCATCTCTGAACCCTGGGAATGAACACAACATTCAACACCTTTATTCCTATGTCTTTCCTTGTGTCTGGCCATGAGGCCCCACAGAATCTTGCTTTCTGGTAGCTTTCTGGTTGAGCTGTGTATACCTCCCCCCAGGAATAATGTCAAATAACTTTATTTACTCCTTAACTTTCAAATGACAAACTTTCACAGAGAGTTAAGGCTACCCACCACTAACAGATGTACCCTGTGCAATCTGAATGTCACTTTTTTCTTTTCTTTTTTTTTTTTTTTTGGTTTGGTCTTTCAAGACAGGGTTTCTCTGTGTAGCCCTGGCTGTCCTGGAACTCACTCTGTAGACCAGGCTAGCCTTGAACTCTCGAATTCAGAAATCCGCCTGCCTCTGCCTCCCAAGTACTGGGATTAAAGGCGTGCGCCACCACTGCCCGGCTGAATGTCACTTTTCTTAATGCCATAAACAATGGCACTATCGACTATGTGTAAGTAAAGGTGCTTTCATTTAGAGATGAATCCATCTTCTTCCTGTTTAGTAGCCATCTACTCACTGACTCTGAGATGAACATAAATACCTAGAAGTAGTTACTTACAAGGCCCAGCGTGAATAGTCTTATGCTCTGCCAACCCATTCCTCTCTAGACCTTTCCGTAATCTTCCAGCAGGTTAACAAGACCTACTGCAGGGCTTGAGCTCTGTCTGCCGTGGTGGATCAGTGCCAGCTTCACACAGATTCATACACACACAGCTACACTCTTAAATAACACACAGCTATGGTCACATTTAGCTACATTCTATCACACCACACACAGGACCAAACACACTGACATCAGCTGTATACACCATGTATGCATTCATGTCACACATAGAACCAACATACTGACATCAGCCATGTAGACCACATACACATCCATATCTGATACAGCCACAAAAAATATACATGCCCCACCCCTACAAAGTGAACTGACTAGAAGTGTACAGAAAGCCAGAAGTATATCCAGAATGCTTGTCTTGCTTTCTTCTGTCTAATCTCAAACCCTGCTAAGACCCCTCAGCAATCTCCTGAGTTGTGCCCACTTTCTCCTTTACAACAGAATGTTGTGCTTGTTTGTATACTTACTTTTTCACACATCTGTTCTCAATAGTTATTTATAAGCAACTTAAGGGACTGGGTCACTGTAGCAGCTTTCTGTAGCACAAGGCTGGGCACTCACTGATTTTCTGAATGAGAGATGAGATGGGTGAGAACTTTCATCTCTGCCCCTGATGACTCTGCCTAGGACTTTAGGATCTACAGACAGGAAGCAATGTAGCCTCCACTAATTATTATTATTTTTTTAAAGATTTATTTAGTTTTATTTATATGAGTACACTGCAGCTGTCTTCAGACACACCAGAAGAGGGCATCAGATGCTGTTACAGATGGTTGTGAGCCACCATGTGGTTGCTGGGAATTGAACTCAGGACCTCTGGAAGAGCAGTCAGTGCTCTTAACCACTGAGCCATCTCTCCAGCCCCACTAATTATTTTTAAATAGGGTTTCTCTATATAACTGTGGTTGTCCTGGAACTCTTTATGTAGACCAGGCAGGCCTTGAACTGGCAGAGATCCACTTGTCTCTGTCTCCTGAGTGCTAGATTTAGAAGCATGTGTCACCATGCATGCCCAACTGTATATTCTCTTTTAAAACTGCTAAGACCATATAATTCTCCAAATGTCTCTCCAGGGCTGAATGCTGGGTAAATATAAGCGTAGAAAGACTGCCAGGCATAGTGGCACAGGCCTCTAATCCCAGCACTTGGGAGGCAGAGGCAGGCGGATCTCTGTGTGTTAGAGGACTGCTCGATCTCTATATGGTGAGTTCTGGAACAGACAAAGCTACATAATGAGGCTCTGTCTCAAACACTAAAACAAACAAGCAAATAAATTTAAAAGAGAGACTGAGTTGGGGGCTGGAGAGCTAGCTCAGTGGTTAAGAGCACTTAGTGCTTTTGCAGAGGACTCAGACTCAATTCCTAGTACCCACATCAGGTAGCTCACAATTACCTGTAGCTCCAGCTTCAGGGGAATCTAATGTTCTATTCTGCTCTCCACAGGCACCTGCACACATGTGGTGCACATACATATACTCAGGTGCACACACATACATATAATACGTTCTTAAAACTGAGCTGGAAAAAAAACAATGACTCAGTAGGTAAAGACACTAGTGACCAAGCCTGAACACAATCTAGAAGGTGATGTTCCAGGGAACAGACAGTGTGGACCCATTCTTCCTGGCCATCGCTGCATATGGCACATTACACAGTGTTCAGGAAAAGTTAACATTTTCTTAAAGGTCCCACAGAGCACTCGACCTAGGGCTGAGCGGTCCATGTGCACCATCTCGATTCATTGTAACAGCTCCTCTGTCTTCCCAGTGCTGGGATTAAAGGCATGTGCCTCTACACCTAGCTCAACTATGCATTTTTCATACTTACTTTAGAAATGAAGAAACTGAAACTCAGAGAAATCAAGTCACTTGCCTAAGAGCACACAGTAAGTGACAAGAGCATACAGTAAGTGACAAAACGGAAGCCCATGCTCATCCTTCCAAAGCCGAGGTGTTTAACCATTCCACTAGTACTGGAGGGAGAAAAACATGAAAGATAGGAAAGGTGCCACAGCAGTTAGGACACACAAAGACACTTCTCTGAAGAGAGCAAGGAAGGAACTTCACGGAAGAGGTGGCATTTGAACTATGACTTACAAAATGGACAGATGAGCAAGACCAAGGCTGACAGGGATAGGGGTCCATTTCTGACTGAAAAGGCAATGCAGAAAAAATACAAAGTCACACTGCATTATAAAGAGCCGAGGGAGAAGAGACCTAGTGCATATTGGGTTTTCTTCCTCAGAGCTCAGCAGCACAGAGTCGCGAGCAAGAGCGCAGAGGAGGGATGAGTTCTAAGAACAAGGCAAGAAGATGCGGCTTGGCGATCACAGATGATGGACAAGAGCCTGGATTAAAGGGAAGAGACCAAGTTGTGGTCTGAAAGATTAAAGTTCTAGATCCGGGTACAAGTCAAGGGCACTGGGAGTAACTTGGAAGGACCAGGGACAGGGTGTGGAAAATTAAGGAAACACTCACGGGAGCTAGATAGCGGACCAGAGACGGAACATCAAACAAGCCAGAGGATCTGAGGTGGTCAGGGCAAGAGGACAAAGGCTGCAGCACTGTCCAAAGAGCCTAGTTAAGTGGGGAAGGAGGGGTCAAGCTGGAGGAGTCATCTGGGAAAGCTGAAGGACGGGAGTTGATCATTTCCATGGGACATCTTGGGGCTGGAGCTGGAAGAGTACAAGGGGCGATCCTAAAGACACGGTGTGTGGGAGTTGCATGGAGTGATTCAAGGCCAACGTAAGGGAAGGAGGGTAGTAAGGCTGGGCCATCCGAGGACCGGGAGAGGATCGCAGCAGAGGGACACACGGTACCCGGCGGCCTTTGGGACTCGCGAAACAGCAGCTTCCAAAATAGCAGCTTTCAAAACCTTCGCGAGAGCGAAGGGGCCAAGCTCGAAGTGCCCCGCGTCTCGCGTCCGCCTCCCCATAACCCCCACGTCACCTCAACACAGCCGCGACCCACCTCACTCCAGCAGCTCGGTCAGGGACAGCGCCGCCTCGGTGGGCGGGGAAGGAGCCGGAGCCGGAACTCAGAGAGGACCGGCCTTCGCACTGTCGGGATTGGATCCTGTGAACACTCTTCCTCTCTATTGCCTACCCTAACTGTCACACTGCACAAGACCTAGGCGGGACGGCCAATAAACTTAGGTATAGGGCGTGGCATGCTGGGAGTTGTAGTCCTGAGGTTCGCCTCGGTGAAAACATTTGCCCACTTCAGAACTCAGCTGAGAAGCTGTCTTCACTTCTAAGGTCATCAGGTTTCTTTTCTGTTTGTCTTTTGAAGTTGTGGCCCTCGATAGAAACCTCGCACTTCGTTTAAAGTTTATAGTTTAAAATTAAAAGAGCATGTGCCTGGAAAGAAGTTTAAAGATAAAGTAATTTGATCTCTTTGTCCGAGACGATAAGTGTCGTCTTCCAAGGACTGACCTCCAACCCGGTCGGCCAGTGGCCCAGCATGGGCTTTTTTCTGTGTCCTAAGTGATTCTGTTAACCCAACAGTCTCTCATCAATCTAGATATAATAGACCAGTAAAGTATCCAGAAATAGTTTTGTTTAGTTTGTTGGTTGGTGTTGTTTTCCCAGATTTTATTTTGAAAAACATTAAAGATTAGCAGCTTGCAAGATAAAGGGGATAAAGATAAGTTTGATGTGTAAGCTAACTACAAACGTCTTCTGTTTGCATGGTCTTTCAGTGGTTGTCTTTGTAGCTGGCTCAATGGTTAAGAGCATTTCTACCTCTTTCAGGGGACCTGGATTCCCAGCACCATGTCAGGTGGTTTACAACCACCTGTAACTCCAGATCCAAGGAATCCAATGGTGTCTTCTGGGCTCCTCGAGCACCTGCACATGACTACACACACACACACACACACACACAATCAGAAAAGAAAAAAGAGAGGGACAAGTTTTATAATCCCAGTTCTTGTCCCTATAAAATCCCTGGCACAACTATTGTAAGGATGTAAGGATTGAGTGGATAGACAGACAGACAGTCGGACACAAACAGATATACATTTCCTGCCTCTACAAATAGCTCTATTCTCTATTAGTAAGTTCTCTCAATAGGTGAGACCAGTGTGAGTTAGTTTTAGGATTGTCTATTCAAGCAATTATGTTTGGAGCTAAAGGTGTGTGAAGTGTAAGTATCTATTACATACTATTAGTTTATAAATTGATAAAAATAAAACATCAGAAGCCAGACTCAGTAGTAAAGTTGGGTTTATTATGAACGATGTCTAAAGTTTGCTTGAATGGTGGCTGAGCTGTTCAGAAACCAACCCCATAATGTTTTCACCATAACTTCTTTCATAATGAAGACAGCATACCAAGCAATACATACTAAAGGGCATATTTAATAACGGTACAAAGACAAACAAAATATTCCTTTTGGGCATTGTAATGGCAAATTTTACATATCACCTTGACCTGTCACAAGGGTTCCAGACACTTGGTCAGACGTTACATTTGGTGTCTCTGTGAGGGGAGCTTGGACAAGATTAGCATTTAATCAGCAGCCTGAGTAAAGCAGTTACCCTCCTTAATTCCAGTGGGAGTCATTTGATCAGTGGGAGATCTCAGAAGAGTCTTGCTGCCTGTTGGGCTTTAGATGGATATCATTCTTTTCCTGACTTAGACTGCAACTAAAACATTGGCTCTTTCTAGGACTCTGACCTGCCAACTTCAGTCTCTTATTTATTTATTTATTTATTTATTTATTTATTTATTTATTTATTATTTATTCGAGACAGGGTTTCTCTGTGTAGTTCTGGCTGTCCTGGAAGTCACTCTGTAGACCAGGCTGGCCTCGAACTCAGAAATCCGCCTACCTTTGCCTCCCAAGTGCTGGGATTAAAGGCGTGTGCCACCACTGTCAGGCTCATATTTATTTTCTGTCCCCATGTTTTACTGCATCTGCATGGAACACACACACACACACACACACACACACACACAGAGTTGGTTCTCTTTCTCTAGGGAACACTAATCCAGGCTCTATTGGAAAGAGATCTGGTACCTGTGGTGTCCAGCTGCCTTCCCATCTGCAAATTGGTAATTAATAACTCGACAAAAAGGCCAGATCACATACATGGGTGTGACTTGAAAGTGCCTTGCCTTCTTTGACTAATCTATATCCAAAACTTGGATTCCTTATTGAAGTATTTAATTTAAAAAGTGTGTGTGTTGATGTGTAGGCATGTGCAGTGAATTGTAGATGCCCTTGAAGGCTAGAAGAGGAAGTCTCATCCTCTGGATCTGGAGTTACAGGTGGTTGTAAACTGCCCAATATGGGTGCTAGAAAACAAGCTCAGGTCCTCTGCAACAGCAGAATGAGCTCTTAATCGATGAGCCATCTTTCCAGCCCTGAATTTATTATTTTATTGTCTCAGTTTATCATCTTTCAAATATGATATCTTATCTTATTTTGGGGGGTGGCATTGAGACAGGGTTTCTCCACATAGCCCTGGCTGTCCTAGAACTTACTATGTAACGCAGTCTGGTCTATAATTTACAGAGATCTATTTTACAGTAACCCACCTGGGATTACATATGTGCACTACCATCCCTGGCAGTAAGATGTCTTATTTGAAACAAGATCAACTTTCTTGAGATCAATAATCTCTGACCTGGAGGCTGTTGTCAAGTCTAATAGTCTTGTGGGTATACATGAGTGGTACAAACTTCCACTTTTTCTCACTGGACCTCTCTGAATGTCAGGAAGTTTCCAGAAGGGCCATAGCCACAGACTGCAGAGTGACTCATCTGCTCAGAGCTGCACAGCTGGATTGCTTTGGTTACAGCTGTGCCTATCAGCCTGTGTTGAGGTTTCTTGGGATTATGATCCCTGGTCATGATGTAGGTAACTTAATTTTTGAAAACATGTGTATTCCAGATGTCTCCATTTCAAATTAGCTGTTGGAAACAGCTCTGGGTGTCTCCAAACTCTGCTGTAAACAGCATGAAGAAAACAGAAAACATAGAATGTTTACTCCCCTGTCTCTAACCCTGAACAAAGAAGAAAGTATGCATGAGTCCCAAGATATATACTTGTAAAACGCTAGCGTGGGGAGTTAGAGACCTGACTGGGGGAAAAGAAACAGTCTCTGGTGGAAGATGTTGGGATCTAGGGGCTATAACCTCACAATTGAAAACCCACTGAGCAGGCTGACAAAGAGAAGTTGGTGCCAAGGTTACCTCAGAGAGAAAGAGAGAGAGAGAGAAAGAGAGAGAGAGAGAGAGCCCTATCCCCTGACCTGAGCAGAGTCCTCCTGCATTACATCCAAGGTTTTGTCCTAAACCTCGATGGAGTGCATTTTGTTTATTTCAAAATGTCATCTACCAGGGCAATGGAAGTGTCTAGTCTCTAGAAAAAGGGAGAGTTCAGAACTGAACCCTAGGAGAAAAGCAGAACAGAAACCACAGAAGGATCTGGATTGGGGTCAAGGAGATGAAGTACTGGAGAAACAGGCGCTGGGCCAGGAGCTTGAGTCCAGCCAGGGTGCCAGGCTGAACGCTCATGAGAGTGGAGCACAGGAAAGAGCCCTACAAAGAAGGAACCCTGAGCCCCTTAAGGGCAGGGCCAAGGTTAGAGGGCCAGGTATCATTAAGCAGAAAAAGCTCAGAACCCTGAGGGGACAGTAAAGATGGATTCACCTTCAGGGACACGTCTCCATTAGCTCGGTCTTTTCCTTCTTGTTTGGGGACAATCACTTCCTCTGATTTTTGAAGCTCAGTACAAATGATTAAAGGCGCTGTGTTTTTCCCCTCATCGTGAAGACACGGTTCAAAGAAAGGGCAAAGTGGACTCGAGAAACTGTGGGTGAAAGTGAAGATGTGGGACTTATCAGTCACGTTGTAGAAGGATATGATGCCGGCTTCATAGTCCAAGAAAATCCCCACGCACTTTGGGGACTCTTTGAGGCGTAAGGAGGTCTGCGGGGACGTGAGAGCTTCATATGCATTCCCATGGCTTTTTCGCACAAGCCAGTGGCCATTGACAGGCGAGGCCGTGACCTTCCCTTTCCTGCTCACAGACTCACTGCACACTCCAAGAATCCATTTGGTCTTCTCGCCTACATACACTTCCCAGTAGTGACAGCCGGTTGTGAAGTTCTCGGAGCCCAGGACGCTGACAACAAAGTCAAACCTCTCTGGGTTGTCAGGAACAGGCCGCTTCCTGTCTCCAAGCCTCACACATCTCCGATCCTCAGACAGGATGAGTTTGGGATGTGCTGTGTCCGGGTCCAGGGTCACTGCCACTGCAGAGTTAGAGAGAGGTGAGAAGAAAGATTTATGTTTTAAGGAGGGGAAAAAATAGTCTGGATGTCCGCAACCTATCATTTAACTGTTTTAGTTTATGGCTTTCTCCCAACCTCCTCCACATGTGTACTAGACTTCTAGCTTGCAGACAGAAAGCTTGCCTGGTGCTCATGAAGTCCTAGGCCCCACCTTCATCACTACATAAAACAGTCAGGGCAACTCACTTCAGTGCTTGGAAGTAGAGTCTGGAGTATCAGTAGCACAAGGTCACCCTTGGCTACATACAGAGTTCGAAACCAGCCAGCACCACTACATTAGACTCTGTCTCAAAAAGCCAAAACACACACACAAAATCTAGACTTGGATGTTAGACATTGTGTTGGTTAGTTTTTTTGTCAAACCTTATTACAAGCTAGAGTAGATAACAACCTGTGGGTCATGACTTCTTGGGGAGTCACATAGCAGATACCCTGAATATCATATATTGACATTACAATTAGTAACAATAGCAAAATTACAGTTATAAAGTAGCAATGAAAATAATTTTATGGCTGGGGGTCACCACCACATGAAGAACTGTATTAAAGGGATGAAGCATTAGGAAGGTTGAGAACCACTGAGCAAGAGCAATCTGGGAAGTGGGAAACTCAGTTAAGAAAATGCCTCTCTCAGCTTAGCTTGCTATTGGGTTCCTTTTCTTGATAAATGGTCGATGTGATGGCAGTCAGCCCATCGTGGGCGGTG